ACATAATACATAATATATAATATAATATAATGAATGAAATATTATTTACTGCACATTCAAAATTACAATTACAACACTGAAAAGTAATGCAAGTATCACAGACTAAGCTAATGTACAACAGGCGTCCTTGTGGTCTAGTAGCAATGGTAGACATTTAGGGCAACCTTATATAATGATTTTATATGACATTAAAATATTCCTATGTTTATTATTCAGTTAACTCTACAGGCATTGGAAATGAACACTTTTTCAGATCTAGATCGCATGTTATTGTCATTTCGAACGAACCAACGTTTCGGGCCCTTTACAGGTTCAATGGTCACGGCTGATTCGTTGCCGAAGAAACATATAAGATTTCAATTTCTACACGCACTTATGAATTTCAATAACTGTATGAACAAAGTGCTTTGTACGTGGAACATGCGTTCAGGTTTTATTAATTTAATTTTCAGGTTTTTGTAGCAAATAGTGGATGCAAGAACACCGAAGTAAGCCACCCATTCGGCTACCTCAAAGCCTCAACGAACCTCACTTGCGTCAACTTGTTCGTTCTCCCGTACAACTATCCAGTACTCCTACCTCTGCTGGATGATTTATTTAAAGTGCATAGATGCAAACCCACACCGGATTGGAAGATGGCCTTTCAACAGTATTTGGATAGAATGCCTTCTTACTATGTTGCGGTAAGTTTTTTTTTATAACATCAAGTGACCGGATGGACAAGTCATGCGCATGGTGCTAAGAGACACGCCTGTCTATACCAGTTACAGCGCCACTCAGTGCTTTAAATAGCAAAGATCTTATGGGCACTACCATTGCGCCTGACACACAGAGATAAATTGACAAGTCCCATGTGCATGTATTTCACCAACGCCCTTACCTTTTAAAACTGGAAAGCAGTAATGATACTTGGCGGTAGAAATAGGTAAAGTCGCAGTGTTCCCTGGACGAACTCTCATAAGGACCTCTACTGCTGCTAAAGGACCGAGTTCAATATCCAACGCTGTTTTTACATTTGCTGGGGTCACGCGGCAGCTTAACAATGCTCAATGAATATTCATACGAAAGAGAATTTGATATGCTTATCGTTTTAGAATTCTAATATCTGAAATGTCGGTGTCGAAAAATGCTGGGATTTCAGTTATATTGTGTAAAAACTATTCGGCATTTTTGGGTTTGATGTTTTATCTTCTTTCCGTAGTGCAGTTCAAAATACTAACCTGTGAATGTGTATGAATTTCAAGTGATCAGAAACAAATTGTTTTCAGTATATTTTAAATAATAGTTCGGGATACCATAAATAGTAATTTTTTTAGGATGGCTTCCGTGGTCGAATGACTTGCACACCGGTTCTCATGGTGTCGCCATCTCTGAGGTCCCGGGTTCGATCCCCGGCCGGGTCAGTGTAGAAAACTAACTTTTCTGTATTGTCTCGGGTTTAGGTGTTTGTGTTACCGCCGATTTCCATAACACGAGTGCTTTAGCTACTTACTTTGGGATCACAGTAACGTATGTGATGTTGTCTAATATTTATTTAATAAGTACATAATTGTAAAGCAGTTTTAATTTATTAAGGAAAATATGCAAATAATACTTAATAATTATGCAAATACATTAATACCTGACCCTTATGTTAATGTGTCAACACATGTATATTCTTTATACCCGTGTTGACGTGTATAAAGGAATTTTTGAATGTTTGGATAGATTAATATGAGTCATATGTTGTAGAATATCTTCTGATGCTCCACAAGGATAATGCAAATTAAAGCTAATGTTGTGATCTTAAATAATGAATACAGTCATAATTAGGATCGCCTAAAAACTAAAAACAGATTGGCGGTATATAGATACCTCCAATATGTTTGTGTGGAGAATGTTTGATTGGGCACAGTAAAAATATGGTTATTTTGCTACTGGCAACTTTTATTCCATTTGTATGTATTCTTCCACTAATGAATGAGTTGTTGGATTAATGAATTATCTCAGACAACCACACCGATTGCCTGGTCTTAAGGGAATTCCCTGTACTTTGAGTAACAGAGCGATTGTATTCACTCCGGGGCACTACCCGGAACACCCAGACCAGATCCAATTTAGAAAAGTTCATTTCCCAAATTGGTCTTAACGGGAATCGAACCCAGAACAGGCCATCTTGGCAATATTATTAATGTGGACCAAAAACTAACTGATGGTAATTGTGTATGAGGGTTCCTTTTACTATTGATTGACGCTGTTTTGTTAATATGATAACTGCATAATGCTGGATGGAAAAATATTTATTTATACCTTACATACGGTATAAAGAATTGCCTTGTTTGTTAGCTTGACTAATGTACATTGGTTAATATGCAATATTTTATATTGTTATGTTTTTTATAATTAAAATTCCAGCCTCTACGAAGAGCGCTAGCGAAGATGGGCGCCTCCGCTCCATTGGTCCAGAGCTTGATTCCCGACACGCAGGATAACTCACTCAGCTTCTCCGTGCTCAACTATTTGAAAAGACTGAAGAACCAAGCCAAGATTGAGTTTGAAAAGCTTTGTGCTGACGTCATCAATAAATCCAATAGTGCTAACAATCAGAAAGTGAGAATTTATATCTAAATTATTATATTATGTGAAAGGTTTTAAACTGCGTACACTTTTGGTATATCCACTTCATATACAGTCACTTGGTGGCATATTATTATATTCTGTTCTGAAATATTTATGTCCTGTTTTAAACTTAATTTTAAAACCTTAACTTAATTTAAACCAAAAAGTAAATTTAAAATAGGATGTAAGTATTTACACCCCTAAAATTTTTTTCGAAATGGGGCTTTGGCCTTTTCTACAAAACAGTGATTATATAATTGCAGCCACCTTGATTTTTAACCTTAAAGCTCTAAAGTACAAAAATATTGTTTATTGAGTATCAGTGATACAAATAAAGATTTTTCAGTAACGATAATCTATGGAAATGACGTTTAGTATACCATATTCAAAATTAGTAACACTTTGATCAAAGTAACATTTTTTAACCAGGCCTTTTAATACTGAAAATGCAAAGTAGTTCGAAAATTATGTGTCCAGGTGTGTAATTTTGTTCGTTTTATTGGTTTTCTATGCAATCTTTCATCCCCTATTTTACCCTTTTAAGATTTATTTTTGAGACAAAAAGCCTATGTCATTCTCCTAGGTGCCATATATCTCCAAACCAAAAGTCATCTAAATTGGTTCAGCGGTTTAGGCATGAAAATGTAATTAGGCCGGCAGACAATTATTTTCGCATTTATAATTTTAGTTTGGATGGTAACATACCATATAGTATTTTTGCTTGCTTATTCACACGACTATACTTGTACAGTGCTATTGGTTTAAGTCGGGCTACTCGAGTTTTACGGAAGTTGATGATTGCATTGTTAACCTACTTCCTTGTAATATATTTGACATCATTATTTTCTGACTCTTTGGTTGATGCTATTAAAATATACCTTATCGGTTAGACATAAGGTTTATATTCAGTAAATATTAGGCTGTGATTTTCTATTTTTGACTAATCTGCCATTATTCTTGATAACATTGCGGTATCAGAACATCGTAATTAATTAAAAGTTTAACTTAACTGTTTAGATATAAGGTTGATATTTTACCGGAAGAAAGTGTGTGATATGGTGTAATGGACTGCTTTCTGCATCCAACATAGCAACACCTCTTGTCTGGTGTATCAAAACAAAGGTTTACCTAGTTTGGGCATCAGTCTTCCACATTCAAATAGTTACATTTCTTTGATACGTTGTGAAATTCAAGTGTCAATGTGGAAGAAATAAAGAAATTATTATTATTTTACATGTGGATGGAAGAGTATCGCCTAAGTAGTAGTAATAAGTACAGTCGCCTGTTTCCGTAAAACGCGAAATTTGCCTTAATCTTGGGTTTTGATAATATGGTTACTATTATAAGGTGTGCCTAATTAACAGTACCTATGACATTTCGATTTAGTTTTTTAACACTATCTTGACAGTTTTATAATAATTATAATTATTTCAATTTGCATTTATTTTTAGAATGAATACCATAAATTTTGTTTATTTTAAATTTGGAACGTTTTTTTTGTTGCTTGTGGCCTAATGTGAATGGGTTCCTTCTGACAGAAGGAGACTGTTGCTGGCTTTGGTTCTAGAGGATCTAGAAACGAACAGTTTAAAATGTATTATAAGTATATTATACGACTGGTACGGAAAAGCCTGCATCAGCTATTAGCTCTTTATCACGACCTAAGATAGACTATTTGTCTACCAAACCAGAACGAAGCAACTGTGCTTCATCAATCAATAGCGTTATTTCGACGAAGCGGCATGGATATGTTAACATAAGGCTCAATTTACATTGCCGCGGAACGGTATTATAAAAAGTGCTTTAGTTACTTGTTTTGGAATCAGAGCAATGTATGTGATGTTGTCTAATATTTATTTATTATTATTTATTTATAATATATAATTCCAGGCAGCAGAAAGTGTCCGAGTTATGCCTCGTTCTCCACTCAAGAAAGATCTAACAACGCATCCGAGTCTGCAAGACAAGTTCTCGGCCCTTCGCGACCAACTTAACGAGTTTGGTGGCTTCGTCGTAGGTCTTTCACGGGGCAGGCATAAGACTCAAACTCACACTTATAGGAATCCTTTCGATATTCAAAGGCGGGATCTTTTAGATCAGGTGAGAAAATATATTTGGTTACTATATTTATTTCTTTGTGCCGTTATAGTGTTAAAAAAGAACGTAAATTACTAATCTACAACTACTAAATAAGTAATTTAAAACGCAGTCTTCGTAGAAATCGGCAATTTTTGCTGCGCTTTGAGCCGAGCATGCTTTCGTGCGTTCTCGGATTTTCACAATTTATAAAAGGAATATAATAGGTATATTTGTTTGTCCTTTTTGCGACTTTCTAAGTTTCTATGACAATTGTCTGATAAAATTTAAATGTACGAAATACTATTATAAGTTGTTTTAGTTGAGTTGTAGTTTTTAGTTTCCACGTGTGTCGTATTTATAGAATTATTCTGATATAAGTTGTAAAAGTTATTATTCATAATTATAAACGTGTATTTTCCAGGTGGTCCGCATGCGCGCGAACTTCCTTCAGCCTTCACTAGCGCATACAAGACTCGTAGACGAAGACAGTGTTCACTCAATGCCAGTAGCCCAAATGGGCAACTATCAGGAGTACCTCAAGCGTATGACGCCGCAACTGCGTGAGATTGAGTCCCAGCCCGTCCGACAGCACATGTTCGGCAATCCCTTCAAGATAGACAAGGTAAAAAAGGGTAATTTGGCTTTGTATATAAACTTTAGAACACTGAAAAATCAAGTTTTGACGGAATATTTCAAACAAGTATTTTGCCTGTAGTTGTTTAACCTGATATGAGTAGATGCTGTCTTATGACTATGTAATCTCTGATGAATTGAAACTGGAAACTCTTAAAAGAAATGACTAACGCATTATGGTGGCAAGTTACACAATAAGTATTTCTATTAGCTTAGATACAAATAATGTAATGTAATAATCCAGAAAAAAAACAACGATTAAAATTTTTATTTTCAGCGCATGATGGTCGACGAAGCGGACATAGATCCACTCGGCACCATCCGAAGTTCGGCCGGAGGGGGTGTAGGCGGCAAGCGAGGGTCAGAGAGTCCCCGGGCGGCCCCGCCGAAGCGCAAGGCAGGGCCATTGCCACTTCACGTGACGGCACGGCGGCCATCATCGCCGGCGCCACCAACACCAGTCGTCCGTACACCACCACCATTGGCGCCAATATCGCCAATAGCACCAATGGCCCCGCTGTCGCCATCGCCTCCCGCTTCACCCGCCGCGCCACAGTCACCGGTCACCACCCGACGACCAGCTTCTCCTCTCGCGCCTGCGCCCTCCGACTTGCCTTCCGGAAGACCACCCGAGGTAACCTAGAATTTTCTTCATGTATACAAGTTGCGATGGGTTTGATTTGAGGTTTCAATTTTGTTAAATACTAAATCTATCCTACCAAAAAATTGGTCAAAAATAAAAAGCTTGAAAGAAGGGAATTGTTTCAACTGAAAAGACAAGGGATGCGTTGCGCATACTGAAGCGGTTGGAACAATAAAAAGAGCACAAATTAAAAAAATAATCATTATATTGCAAAGGGTTAATAAATATACGAAATTGGTATAAAATGTTATCTCACTAAACAATCACGTTAAAGGAGCCTCCAACGGTGGATACTGGTGGCCCCGTCAGCGGACCTCCAACGCCACCGATCTCTACTCCTGCCGTCGCACCACCAAACTTACCACCCGTCGTCAAACCGTTTCTCAACGGAGGTATGTATTTTTTATTTATTGGCGTGTAAATAATGACTATAAAACGGATTATCAAGTTCTTAGGTTTTCGCAATTGTTACACATACGAAATGAAACTATTTTTCCGGATTTAAATCTCGTATATTTATTTTTCCAAAACGTCAACCGTGACCATGGGACCTGTAAAGTGCCAGAAACGTGGATTTGTTTGAAAAAACAAATATACGCGATTTTAATCCGGAAAAATAGTTTCATTTCTTATCTAAAACGGATGATTAGTATATTTATTTTAGCAAAGAGTTACACGCTCCATAAATGTGAAATTTGTGGGCTCTTTTCTTTAAAGTAATGCAAACATTTCCAAGCACAATTGAGAAAATATTACGTTGTATTCCAAATAAATAACCTCAATAACCTACAAACTTGCAGACGCTTACACGACGATGGGTAGCAAGATGCCGCGGTCTCCCTCTCCTCCACCGGAGCTGCCGCTACCGGCGCCCGCGCCACACGATTCACAGGAGTTGCAGATCAATGCCATCTTGCAGGGCATCGCCGCGGAGAATAACTCCAATGCTAGGGGCAGGAAGAGGAAACGGAAGGTTATTACAAGGGTATTAATACTAGTTACTAGAGACCAATAAACAAAATAATAGCTTCTTAAATAACAAAACAATAAAAATTAACTAGCTAATTTTGTATTTTCAGAGAAGTTATTAATTTTATAGTGATTTGACATGCTTTAGTATTGCAGAGACGATAACCGTAATATAATAAGAGAAGTATAGTAACTTCATACAAACATAGCAGCGCAACTAGTATGCGTGCACACTCGCCGCGCGCCGTGCATGGACGCACACATTCGCATAATCTTGCGATGCACTTGCGTTGCATGACGCTGGTCGTCCCAATGCGCCTACATTATTATACGAATGTGTGCGTGCGTACATGGCACGCACCAGTCGCACACACATACAGCTGCGCTGTTACTTTGTACGGAGTTATCATGGTTCTCTTATTTTACTATGTCATTATCACGCTTCTGTGGTGTCTACGGCGGAAAAAAAACTTTTCTTAACTCTTCAAAGAAACATTTAACAAAGCTTTACATATACAAGCCGCGCTATTATTTTGCACGGAGTTACCTTGCTTGTTTTATTCTACTATGGTAGCACCGTGGCTTGTATTTGTGAGAGCCCGTCGCGCGCCGTGTACGACGTATATATTCGCATAATCTCGCGATGCACTTGCGTTGCATAACACTGGTCATCCCAACACGCCTTTCATTATTATGTGAATGTATGCGTCCGTACATGGCGCGTGCCAGTCGCACTCACATACAGCTGCGCTGTTACTTTGTACGGAGTTACCATGGTACTCTTTATTTTACTATGTCATTACCACGCTTGTGTGGTGAGTACGGCGGAAAAAATACTTTCATAACTCTTCAAAGAAACATTTAACTAACCTTTTCTCTTTTTAGGTCGAGAAACCGGAGCCGCCGCAAATAGCACTACCACCGCAGCTGACGCGAAAGGAGCTAGCCGATATCCGAAAACACAACCTTAACGTGCGCTCCGAAGTGTATAGAGCTGTCCGTCGGCCCGGGAAAGGTAAGTTATTGTTTGTTTATTAATTTACTCCTTTAGTTCCTTGTGTTTAAATCTAAAATTAGATGAATTTGTGTCGTATTGAACAAACTCTAGTATTGTCAGCGGAAATTATTATTATTATTTCATTATTAATTATAAACGCCACACTTTTGGGGATGAAGTAATAAGACATGATAGGCAATTTCGAAAAAGAATAATGATAATACCACAATATACACAAAATTTTTGTAATTTTTTGTGAATATCATTTAATTTGTAGTCTAAACGAGTCTTTTTTTGCAGATTTCACGAAATTGTTCGAACATTTAAAACAATTGCAAGGGGGTGTGGACATTAAAAAAGAAGTGATTCGCGATGTGATCAATGAATCGTTGAGGTTCAAAAGGAAAGCCCTTGCGAAACTTCTAGAAGACTTTTTAGCAGGGCTAGAGAAGAATGGAAGCAGTGCCTCTGTCGGTATAAAGCGGGTGGCCAATTCTGTGTACAGTGGAACTAATAATCATAGCTAGTGGTCACCACGCATTCCGTGGACGTTCTCCACATAAAGTGGTTTGCCACGGGTGCATGGAAAACTAAAACAAAACAAGTGCGCCGATCGGTCAGGTACACAGTGCTCCTTTAATTTTAAATTCACCTAAGATTTATCTTACAAAAATTGTGTCTAACGTTTCATAGTTAATCCGATACTTGCCTTGTATTACAAAGAGATTAATAAAATGAAGAACGCTATCCGCCTAAAAACAATGAATTTTATGATCTCTTTGGTATCAAAGGCTACAAATACTAGTAGATTAAATAACGCTTCCCTAGTCTTATGTTTCTTTGTGAATGTCTTGACATGTTTCTTTGTCCTTGAAAATAGGCATTTAAATTGTAAGCAGTGACCAATCACATGAATCGAATTTGTGTTTATTGCGCAAACGCCAAAAGATTTGTTTGTTAGGAGCTAAGTTTGACATCAAATCTCCTGACAAGTTTGCGTCTGCGCATATTGACACCATAGTTTATTTGACCAACAAATGTCATTAAGAGTGTTGATCAAAATGGACCAGTTTTCTCTGTCATTTTGTGTGCGTAGTGATTATGGTATTTGAAAACAAAGCAATATGTATTTAGAATGTTTTATAAAACGAGTGTCTTAGTTCATACAAGATGACAGTAATACTGTGTAATTACAGAGATTGTAAATATCACTGTAAATATAGCATGTAGTATTATTACCAATGAAAATAATGTACTTTAAGCATGCATTAATGCATCGGTTGAAGCGCTTTTCAGTGTGGTGTAATCTTCACGGTATGAAATTATGATTGTTATAAAACACCTTATTGAACGTTGTTTCTCAATGCAATATTGGAAATTGAATCAATTTTTAATAAGATTGAATATAACGAAAACCATTTACGAAATGTCTTGAACATGTCATTTCCAAACCAGTTTAAGATTTATTTTTAAATTTAATACATAATGTTTTATGACGTCGATATACCGTGGCGCCCCCTGCACTGATAATCGTTGGGTCAATTGTAAAGTGTATTATAGGTACCTTTTTCATAAATAAATTATGATCCTTATTGGATTTTTAAAATGTGTTTCATTAGTTATTATCCTGTTAGGATATGATATGAGATTGTTTTAAGTAGCCGTAATCCAAGCAAATTTGGGTCAATTGGAAGCGAGCTTCAATCCGAGCCGTCATACTATTTTCGGTAATTTTCGTGTTTCTAACAGTTGCCCTTTTCACACGGTGCAGGATGGATGTACTCTAATCGACTTATACACAGCGTAGCTACTGTTTATTTTAGCTTGTTTGTAACTATCTTGGTATATTGATAATGCTACATTAAATTCTAAATCCGAGGATTGCCGAGAGAAATTAAGTAAGTAGTTGTCCAGTCAACGAGTTATATAGTCAAGAATGTTATAGTCTGTATTAGTCGCTAAAGGTAGATGTAGACATGGCCGAGTCGGTGTAACGGCCGAGGTGTCCACGGAAGTATAAAAAAATATAGACAGCGTCGAATTGTCGATATCGGTGGTTGTTTTTTCACGGCTCAGGGGGTCGATTCAGAAACTTACGATAACTACGTTGTCGACCGATTCGATTTGATAGGTATCGTACGATTTCTTTTCATTTTTATTCACAATAACCGAATCGAACGTCAAACTGTCGTATTCAAAACCGAACCGAAATGACGTCACACTCGTACGATTACTCGATCTTCTCGACCGGCAAAGGCTACAAACGTTATTCAGAACACAGTTATCGAATGAAAATTGCCGAACGCCGTATTGTTTACAAAGCAAGAATGTAATATGGAAATCTCTTATTATTTTAAATAAAGTCTGGATTTTGTTTAATTTAATCAAATTATTTTAATGCAAAACTAATGCATTTCTATATTTGCAATACTAATGCATTCCTATATTTTAGGCCTGTAAAGTCTAAAAAATGTATATAAAAGGATTTTTATTTTTCCTATAAATTATTGCACCGACTAACTCCGTAAACGTTGTTGGATTACGATATCGTATCCCAATCCGAATCGAACGTTCTGAATAGCTCGGAAATCGCCCTTCGATTCGAGAACTATATCTAATCGAACGATTCGGTTAAAATATCGAAGATTTCTGAATCGGGGTCCGTGTCCGGTCTGGCCACGATACGTCGTGGTAATAGGAATGTGTACAACCGACGCCGGAGAGTCTCCGACGCACAGAGTGGACGAGCTGCATAATCAGAGAGGACGACGAAAATTGCTTTGCTCTCATGATCTTTAATTTCTTTGTAGAGCGTGACTATTCTCATTCCGATTCTTGTTTTCTCCAGTCTGGATGTACACCACATCTTTATGTAATTTAAATTCGCGTTTCAAATACTTCTATAGCAATTGCAGTAGCTACCAACTCAAGTTGTGAAATTTGCCTGAATAACAAAAGCGATAAAATAAGTGTTGACGAAATTAATAGACGCTTGACAACACTCGATCGTGCAATAATTTAGGTACTTGCAATTAACTCGGTGTAGGATGAATGACTTTCCCGACCGGCACTCGCGGTGTCAACGACATACACGCACGGCCCGGCCTGCGGCCCTGGAATGGTGTAGCGTGAATCGTCGAAAAGGTGTTGTGATGGTCGCATTATTATGTCAGAATGGTGAACGAAAGAATGGACATTTTAATGTAATGTAAAAATGTGATTCATCCCTAGTTGAGTGGCTCTTAAAGGTGGAATATTTCCTTCAAATTTCGAGGTAACCTCTTTCCAACAAAAAAAATCATCAGAATCAGTTCACAAATGCGTTAGTTATCATGCGGAGCGGAGGACCTATCTTGGCGTAGACAATAAAACGCCGCAGTAACTTAAAAACGTCATACGAATTATGACAAATTTTCTAAGTATAGAAACGATCAAATATAGAGTAAATCTGTGCGCCATCTAGGTCAATCACAGAGGTCAATGGTGCCGTCAGGTCTAAACTTAGTGCTGTTATTATCGTGACTGAAGAATGTCCACGTTAAGCCAAACTTTAAAACAATCGTAAAACTTTAAAATTGCGCGTACCGACTCTGTCTAGCTTTTTGTCCTGACCTTTGACAGTCGATACTAATATAATATATAAATATATAATCGAATTCAACATTTTCCCGTACCTACGTTTCATTTTGGCTAGGTCGAGCGGCAGAGACACTGGCTTATTTCAGAATTTATTTTTTTTTAGAAACGAAAGCCATTTAAAAAATGTATATCGTATAGTATACGTGTTCTATTTGGTTCAGTTGATATAATTAAAAAAACCATTGGTATATATAAAGTATCTATTGAATACAGTGGTTTTCTTGTAAAATTTCGAGGTAACTTTATGTTTTTTTTTACTATCGTGAAAAATTTTAGGAATCGTGTTTTCACACCATATAGTAATCAGTGTATATCCTCAATTTTACTATATATTATTTTCCAAAGTAATTGATTCAACACTTTCACCGTTATGCGGAATCAAACCAAAGCCACTTGAGGTAGTATAAACTGTTTTTATTGTAATTTCTTGCACCAGTATAAGAGTAGCGCTCGTACAATGCTACCGATGACTTAAACACTTTCAATAACATTTGAGACTAGGTATGTACCGAAAAAGTGCAAAGCACCAAATAACAATTTCTATTATAAATTTCGCAATGATATTCGAATAAGTTTGTATAGAAATTGCCTGGGGAAATTGAAGGCGACGGAATGGGCTGCAACAACAGAGATAATGTAAACGCAAAATTGGATGCGCCATCGTTGCCACTTCCCCGTCCCGCACAGCGCTCACCACACTTTTATTACAAACTAGGCGATGCCCGCGACATCGGAAAGTGGATTTAGAAAGCAAAATAAAAAACTTTGTCAAACCACACACAACGCAAATTTAGTAAATAGCCCATTGACTTACCAATGAAATAGCCTTTCCAGTTTTTTTAAACGGAAATACGCTGATTCAAATTTTTGTTTGGTTTTTCATTATTACAAGTGACGGGGCGAACAAGTCGCGCGTCTCGTGTTAACACACTTGTCCATAGCAATTTCAATGCCACTCAGGGCGTTAAATCGAAAAGATATGAGGGACACTACGCCTATCAACCTGATACATAAGTTGACAAGTTCCATGTGCCTGTAATTTCATCAGCACCCTTACTCTTCAAAGCCGGAACGCTCTAATGCTCACATTACGCCTTGGCGGCAGAAATACGAGTAGGTAAGGTGGCAGTACCTCTCTGGACGAACTCTTTCACGAGGAGCTCTACTGCTACTATTTTTTTTACTACAACGCCGTGCGGGTAGATATCGTTTTCAATGATAGCTGAAGAGTTATGCATTTCGTTATTTGATTTGAAGTGTATTCATGCCTAGTTTCCGGGTAGGGAAGTTAAAAAAAACAAAAACTACGTGAAGCATGATAGTAAGGTGAATGCTGTAGAAATAACAGCCTTCCGCTGTATATGTGGTAGACGAAAGAGTGTAATAAGAGAGCGTTGGGGCGTGAAAGATGATATAGAGACGCATATTTGTAGAATAGCGTCACATATTTATAAAGCGAGTATGGAGCGGGATGCAGGGGAAGGTGTCCACAACTTAGTGCAGATTCGGTGTACATATCTCTACCAGATTAAGGGTGTCTTTAAAAATATAAGGTCAACATCACCAAGAGCAAATGAGTGCGTATGAAAAGACAATTGCGATTGGAGGAAGCGAAGAGATGTGAGTATTGTGACTTGCGAGAGTTAACCCAGTCGGTGACAAGCGTGATAGGGACACCAAATAAACGAGTACGTGGGCCCACTATAACGACTGTATAAGGTCAACGTTGTTCACCTTCAAAAATTCATTTGTCTGTCTGGCCGTGTGAGAACTGGCATTATCGTGGTGCAAGATGATACGGCGTTTACGGTTATTTTTACGGAGTTTGTCAGTAACTTCTGGCAAACAAATGGTCGTGTACCAATCACTATTCACGGTACAACGATTCTCCAAAGCAACAGTAGCCACGTGTCCAGTTTTATTAAAAAAAAGCAATCATCCGCTTAGAGGCACTTTGCACGCGCGCCACTTTGGTTGGTTTCGGCTCATCTCGAAAGATCCATACGCTCGATTGCTGCTTTGTTTTGGGATCGTAACTATAAATCCATGTTTCGTCACCTGTTACTATATCCCACACCAAATTTGACGCCCCTTCCTTGAATCTGGTAAGCATGGCAGTAATGTTCACATTACTGATTGACGGCAGTAATAGATATGGTACTTCCCTGGACGAATCCTTTCACAAGGAGTTCTACTCGTACTAAAGACTTTATTATATCAAGATTAAAGCGCAATAATACCTTCCTTCTATTGTTTCTGATTGTTTAATCATTTTTCATTCAATCGTTTCGGAGCCTATTCTGAACAAACACGGAGACAAATTATATATAACTTTGCACCTTTTGCACAAATTGTATTATGTACATAAGGTAGGTATAGTTTGTGTACACTCCGCGCATCTGCCTGGTGTAGCACGCGAATAGCTGAAGACTGAAAATCAGCAATACTGTGATTTATATGTTTTGTGGAGAAATAAATATCTTTTTATTATATTAATCTATTTTACAAACAGACAGGCGACAGGCAATTCTAAAAACATTTATGCTTATGCAAATAGAGATCCTGGTTAGGTTAGGTTAGATATTGGTTAGATTATTATGAAATCACAGACAGACACTATAATTTTATGTAAAGATTTTAGACCAACCCGCTAGGAACAGCAGATGGGGCGAGTTTCTATGAAATTGTAGCATTTGTTCGGGGTCACATTATGAATAAACTAGAACGTACTTTACAAATAGGCACTGTCACAGCTGTG